GAGGAACACCACACCGGAAAACCCAGGTTCAACATTTGAAGTCAGCCTGATGGGAGCCTGCCAGTCCGCCGTTTTGGCCGAGCTGATTGCTGCCTGGCAAACGAGTGGTGATTGGCCCTAAGAGCTTGACACTGACCCCCTTTCAATTCCCCCTTTAGTGCTCGCTCCTCAAGTCAGAGACGACGATACTAACCACCCGAGACGAGGAAGGTGATCCTGGCTCGGATGGTGAAACTGGCGTTGCATTGGGACCTGTCACTTTGGTTTCTGATAATCTTACAGCCTTACGTTGAAAACGAGTCAGCGCAACTGCATGATGATGATGATGGTTCATTCTATTCTATCGCGCGCGAAAGAGCAATTGCGCAAAAAAAAGGTTTCTCAACGATGACAATCATGTCCTCATTCTCTTTAGCTTCTGCTCTGTTGGCTTGACTCCTTTTTTTTTTTTTCTTTGCCGCTTCTCTTGTTTCTTTCCTCTCAATTTCCCCCCTTCTCAATCCAGTCCATTGAACTTACCTGAATGGGAACTTGCCGGAAATGGAATTTTGCGTGGCCGAAAATCTCCACTGTGGATCACGCGATTGTTCGCTGGCCCCAACGGCAGCCAATCATAATAGGAATATAGCTCGCTTTGCTCGGAAAATTGGCCGGACCGGGGTCCACCGGCTGCGCGTCTTTTCGGAAGAACCTCTGCTTCTTTCGCCTTGTTCACCTTCATTTCCACTTGCACCCGCGCTTGCTGCTGCTCGTCTTTCCATCCGAACTCGCATATTCGCATGGTTGCTCGGTCTTAGCTACCATAGTCGCTCAGACTAAATCGCCGCTAGTAGGCATCCTCATTCTTGGGTCCAATAGGATTCCCCCGGCCTTCGTCATCCACTGGATCCGATCCGGGAACCATGACAGTCCGCCGAATTTTCTCGACGCCCACCTTCAACGCCCGCCCATCACATCATCCTGTCTGACCCCCTCCTCCGTCTTCGTCGTCGCAATCGTTTTCCACCGTCAACGCGGCCACACACACACTTCGCCTCTTCCTGCCCAAGAGCGCTATGTTGGAACCCTTTCTGTATTCTCCGCCGAGTCCGAGGGATCAGGGTCATGAGCCCGTATAAATATATCCTGTCGACCATGGGTATCCGTTGATGGAGGTGGTCCCCCCGGATAAGGATTTTTACTCCCGGTGGAGCCAGGCTGCTGACGACAAGAGATCTTAAACATCCGCTACTGACAAGTCAGGACCGTCGCTGGCCATTTCCAGTTCCTGTGCACTGCCCGGCGTGGCTATAATGCTGGTCTGCATTGTTCCTGGCGGGCCAAAAAGGAAAATTATCCTGCTCCCACTGCGACGGACAAGCATCATCTGGCTACTATTCTGGTATCGCCCCCCCGGTCCGCCAGATATATCGCACACTGTAAACACGCATCCTCCGTCGAATTATCGCCACTACTCTCCAAGGCTTAGACTTTCATCCCCCGCCATCTCGTCCTCTTATTTGCCCTGTCCCGTAGCTGCTTCGTTCCCCCCTATATATAGTTCTTGGGCACGTATCCAATGGTCCATGGGTGCTCCACTCCTCTAGCAGTTGGTTTATCTACGCCCTAGCCCAATTGACGGTTGCGTGGTACCGTTGTTGTCCCCAGCCCATTTTTTTCCCCCTAGGCCCTCTTTTTCTTCCCTCCTTTGGGGGGCTCCTGTTTATTTTTGTGCCCTTTTTAATTTTGCAGTGTTATTTTTGGGATCCTTCTTTGCCCAGCCCCAGAACCTCCCTAGAACCCTCGTTATACTTTTACCCTTTCCCTGTTTGCCTCAAGAAGACCACCCGTCGCAACCTCCGGCAATCCCATCTTCAACCTTCAAGATGGGTACGCCGACACATCCATACTCGGCCCATTCGCCGCGGGAAAGCGAAAGCAGCTACTTCTCCCACACGTCTCCCTCCCATGGTGTGAGTGTGTCCCGTCCAGCTGGCCGCCCGTTCACTACCTAATCGTGATAGCTCCAAACTTACCACTCCGAGCAACATGAGCACGACGAGCAGGAACAGTCTCTGCTGGAGCGCAACAATTCCAGTCACTACGGCACGCCCTTCGATGATCCTGCCGTGTCGACAGACTCCATCCGTCGCTACACTCTGCACGACGACGGTCCTGCGGTCTTCGCCGCGCCCCCTTACCAAGAATCCGAAGCCGCTTCCGAAAACACCTTCCGTGCCCGGAGCAATGGCGACAAGGCTTCCCGTGAAGGGAGTCGCGCGGGTGCCCTGCGCCGTTACGGAACGAGAAAGATCAACCTGGTGCAAGGTTCCGTCCTGAGTATTGACTACCCGGTGCCGAGTGCCATTCAGAACGCCATCCAGCCCCAATACCGGGATGCGGAGGAGGCCTTCTCCGAAGAATTCACACACATGAGATGTAGGTGCCATGCGACTTTGCGGAGATGGCCAATTGTCCGGCTGACCAAAGCATCGCAGACACGGCCGCCACTTGTGATCCCGACGAGTTCACCCTGCGCAACGGTTACAATCTCCGGCCGGCTATCTATAACCGGCATACCGAGTTGCTGATCGCCATCACCTACTACAACGAAGACAAGGTCTTGACCGCGCGTACCCTTCACGGTGTCATGCAGAACATCCGTGACATTGTCAACTTGAAGAAATCCGAGTTCTGGAACAAGGGTGGCCCTGCTTGGCAGAAGATCGTGGTCTGTTTGGTTTTCGATGGTATTGAGCCCTGCGACAAAAACACACTGGATGTCTTGGCGACGATTGGTATCTACCAGGATGGAGTCATGAAGAAGGACGTTGACGGGCGGGAAACCGTCGCCCACGTTGTAAGTTTTGCTTCTTTCCACTTCCTCCGATGCCGCCGTTGTGCAGACCGCCTTTGGACCATCGGGGATCGGCACCGCAAGGAGTCCGATTGTGTACTGACAGTCGCAGTTTGAATATACTACCCAATTGTCCGTCACTCCGACGCAGCAGTTGATTCGGCCCCAGGGCAATGAGTCGACCAACTTCCCTCCGGTGCAGATGATCTTCTGTCTCAAGCAGAAGAATAGCAAGAAGATCAACTCCCACCGTTGGCTGTTCAACGCCTTCAGTCGTATCTTGAACCCCGAAGTCGTCATTCTGCTGGATGCCGGTACCAAACCCGGTCATAAATCTCTGCTTGCTCTCTGGGAGGCCTTCTACAATGACAAGACACTCGGTGGAGCCTGTGGTGAGATCCATGCAATGCTGGGACAGGGCTGGCGCAAGGTCGTCAATCCGCTAGTCGCTGCGCAGAACTTCGAGTACAAGATCTCTAATATTCTCGATAAACCTCTGGAGAGTGCTTTCGGTTATGTCAGTGTCTTGCCTGGTGCATTCTCTGCCTATCGGTATCGCGCTATCATGGGCCGTCCGCTGGAACAATACTTCCACGGAGACCATACGTTATCAAAGCGCCTTGGAAAGAAGGGTATTGACGGCATGAATATCTTCAAGAAGAACATGTTCTTGGCCGAGGATCGTATTCTCTGCTTCGAATTGGTGGCCAAGGCTGGCTTCAAGTGGCATCTCAGTTACGTCAAGGCGTCCAAGGGTGAGACCGATGTTCCGGAAGGCGTGGCCGAATTCATCAGTCAAAGACGTCGTTGGCTGAACGGTTCTTTTGCCGCTGGTCTGTATTCCATCATGCATTTCGGTCGTATCTACCGCAGTGGTCACAGTATCATTCGCATGTTCTTCCTACACATTCAGATGCTCTACAACGTGTGTCAACTGATCATGACCTGGTTCTCCCTTGCTTCTTACTGGCTCACTAGTTCCGTCATCATGGATCTGGTGGGTACGCCGTCTACGAGTAACAAGAACAAGGGTTGGCCATGGGGCAACGACGCGTCGCCCATTGTCAACAACTTCGTCAAATACGGTTATGTCTGGGTTCTTACGCTGCAGTTCATCATGGCTTTGGGTAATCGGCCGAAGGGTGTCAAGATTCCTTACATCCTGTCCTACCTTTACTTCTCCCTCGTCCAGTTGTACGTCCTCATCCTGTCATTCTACCTGGTCGTGGGTGCCTTCAACGGTGGTATGATGGACTTCAACTTCGACGAAGGCGTTGGCACATTCCTCTCCTCGTTCTTCAGCTCCAGCGGTGGTGGTATCGTCCTGATTGCTTTGGTCTCTACCTACGGAATCTACATCATTGCGAGTGTCCTGTATATGGATCCCTGGCACATCATCACCAGTTCCTGGGCCTACTTCCTGGGTATGACGACTTCGATCAACATCCTGATGGTCTACGCGTTCTGTAACTGGCACGACGTTTCATGGGGTACCAAGGGTTCAGACAAAGCTGAGGCCCTGCCTTCCGCGCAAACCAAGAAGGACGACGACAACAAACAGAACTTCATCGAGGAAATTGACAAGCCGCAAGCTGATATTGACAGTCAGTTCGAGGCAACGGTGAAGCGGGCTTTGTCGCCGTGGATCGAGCCAGAGGAAGAGGGCGGCAAGAGTCTGGACGATGCGTACCGCAACTTCCGTACTGTGCTCGTGTGTCTGTGGGTGTTTAGTAACCTGCTCGTGACGCTGTTGATCACCGCCACTGGAGTAGACAAGATGTGTCTGACGGTACGTTCCCTCCCTATTCTCCGGTAAAGCTATAACTCGTAACATCATCTAACGAACTTCCAGAACACCTCCACCACCCGTACATCCTGGTACTTCGAGGTCATTCTGTGGATCACGGCCGGTCTGTCGTTGTTCCGTTTCATCGGCTCGCTGTGGTTCTTGGGCCGGTCGGGTATTCTGTGCTGTGTGTCCCGGCGCTAATTGCGAATGCGTTGGGTAAAGAGAGCGCACCGAGACCTATTTCTCTACATACCTATTCACCTACCCACCTATCCTGCATGATTATGTCGTGTTATCCAGCGCGTGGTTCCATGGGATTGTACATTTATGGACCTGTTTGAGTGTTGTTCTATTTTGTTTCCCCTTCTATGCAATGATAATAATAGAGCGGTTTTGATCTATTGGTGAAATTGTTGGAATTTAGAATAGCTGAGATGATTGATAAAAGAATGACATGACCAATTGCATACTACCAGTTCACCGTGAGCGCAGAGTATTGAAATTCAACGGATACTATTCCCATTTGAAGAAAGAAAACAATAGCGCCAATGTAACCACAGAATCACCAGCTGCCAGCAGAACAACCAACCATCCAAGCCCAGACCCATCAGCCTACCCAGCCAAAGCCAGAGCCAGCTCCAGCTCCAACTTCAAGCATACTAACCAACCCCACCCAAAGCTGCAGAACGTAGTTCCAGGAAACCTTCTCACAGGGAACCACAACTACCAACCATCATTCCATTCATCATCCTTCTTCCCCAGTGCCTTCTTCACAGTGGCACACCCCTCCACATCACCCGCATGGGCCTCAAGAAGCGCCTCCAACGACAGCCTAGTAATATCGCACACCTCCTGAGACGAGATATTGCCCACCTCAATCTGCAAATCAAGACAAGCCTCATGGAAACAATGAAGCTTCGCACACACTGCGTCCATCTCGGCCCGAATGTCCTGCACTTGCTCCCCGAGAGTCAGTAGCTTATCAGCGATATCCTGAAAGGCCTTGAGGTTCTTCTCATAGACCTTTTCACCCTGCTTGATGATGTTGAGAGCAGTGTCTACCCATGGTAGATTCTCGCGAGTACCACCCCATCCGTCGGACTTCTGCTCGAAAGGCCCCCACTCACGGAGGTTGTCTTCGGTGTAGATGGTGGAGTCCGCTTCGGCAGCGGTGGTGGCGGGAGTGGTTGCGGATTCGAGTTGTTCCACCAGGACCTTCAGGTCGGCGACGAGGTGGGCGGGAATGGTAGGCTTGGTGGTGGTCGAGGTAGTGGTAATGGTGCGCTTCGCGTCCCGGGTTGCAAAAGTTGGGGAAAGTATAGGACGTTTCTTCTGCGGAGTGGAACTGGAAGCTGACCAAACAACAGAGGGCGCGGCGGAGGAGGTGGAGGGAGTCATGGCGAAGGGGAATTTGGTCGACGCGGCACGGTTGTTCAGGGCTTTGGAGAGGGAGTCCTTAAAGTTCTCCCGCTTAATGTTGACCTTGGTGTCGTCCATTGTTGATGGAGATGATTGGAGTGGTTGAGGTAGAGGATGATGATTTAGAAGATGGGGAGATTGGAAGATAGGTTTGAGGGGATGGAAGATTGAGGAAGGAAGAGAGGAAGAGATGAAGGGGCCTTTTAATATAGGCAATCAGTGTTGTTTGAGTGAAAGGATCTTGAATTTAAGTTGTGGCTATAGGACTGATTCACTTCGTTCTACTTCACTTGACGGAGAGTGCTTTGTAGGTGTTGGGAATGTTTGCAATGGTCATGCTTGATGGCTATTCTGATGAAAGACCAAGTACCCAGTCAAGCAACTGTGGGTATTGTACTATCCGTGTTTGAGTTACTGCAATTAGATAGCATCTCGGTCAATGTATACTACTACTCTACTGGAATATGCCAGCTTGACTTGCACGTGTTGGAGGTGGTGGTAGATGAGTGGCTATGGTGTGTAGTGAATAGAAATTTAGTAGATTGTTGTTGTTTTGGCATATACTGTAGCGGCTATTTGTCGCTCAGGAAAAATCATCCTCTACTAGTTATATTAATATGAGTATTCATGTAAGCTCGGGCTTCCGTTATTTGGAGACAGCGATTACTTCGTGGTCTCTGATGGTCTTTGGTGTGGGGCGCTCGAAAGGTGCAGCAAAGGAGGAACTACACACGAACAGAACCATACCTAATCTCAATAATAGGAGCGGATACCTTCGGCCTTGATATAGTTCTATTTTATCTGCATGCACACTGCCAGTGGCGATTTCCCAACGCGGGTTGAAGAAGACTTGGTGCTTCCTTCCCTAAATCTTGAATGACCTTGATATGTAGTGGTTTTCTTTCTGGCCGATCCTGGTGGTAGCAGAAAACCTCTATCAACACTATAAACCAGCATATCCTTACGACAGAAATATTCTTTTGCACGATGGACCTCCCAATTTATAGTACAAGTCAGCCTTCGTTATGTGCCCTGCCCGTGGAGCTCATCCAAGCCATTCTTTGCAATCTTCCAGATCTCGAGTCCCTTAAATCGGCCCAATTGACGCATTCTGCACTTTACTTGGCCTTCATTGGCGCTGAAAGTCACATTTTAAAGCAGATATTAGCGCACAAGATTCCTACGGCGCTTTTACCAGATGCGTTTTTCGCCTTCGACGCATCTACTGTGGAGGGCGTGTGGACGCAAGATGAAGTGCACTCCATAATCTACCGGCATCGGACTCGCCAAATCTCTTCATCATTCCCTCTAAACCCCAAGTCTGCTTTCAAAATCAGTAAATTATATCGCTGGGTTCGACATTTCACCAGACACTTTCTCAGGCAGGCACTGTCCGACCCAATGCAAGGGAGAACCCACCCGCCTATGCCTTTATATCAACCAACATCCTCAGAAAAGTGTCGAGTAGCAAGGGCGCTCTACCGTTTCGAGATCCATCGCCATCTTTTTAGGATGCGTGAGCCGTATGCGAATTATGACAAGTGTTCACCGGACTTCCTGGTAAGTGACCAATGGGGTTACTACTTCCGTCACTTTCCCGCGTGGGAACTTGAACAGATAGTGTCAGTCAGTGAGTATCTCTTTCGGAGGGTGGCCGAATGTGGGTGTCTCCTTCTTCCATTTCCTAGACCGGGTCGCATAAGCTTTGAATCCTGATTGCTAAATAGGTTTGCAGCCATGCACACGGCGTGATTGGAGGTGGTACACAGAGGGTATCTGGTATTATTCCAGCAGTGCCTGCCTAATGACAGATCCATCTCCTGTAGAAACTCTAGTGAGTCCTATACAGGCCCGTAGAGTCAATTTCAGTGTGTATTGATCTGACCACAGCCAGTTGTGCCACGGCCTGCGGTATATTGGGCATCTCGTCACAGCTCAAGCACACGACCAGCCCATCATACTCTCCAGAGAATTGTTTGGCAAGCCTTTTATGTCTTCGCTGTCCGACATATTCAGGGCTATCTGGGAGTCTCAGGATGTATTCCACGCTTATCCATCACTTACATGCGAAGTCGAAGGGCAAATCATCGATTGGCAAGATACAGGGTATGTGGGATCCGATCCGGGCCCAGCTAATGCATGGCGTATGATGATGGCGGCAACAATCCCAAATGGAGGCGTATCTACGCAAGTTGGCAATCATTTTACGAGTGATCTCCGTGAACAGGCTTATGTGTTCTGGGATCAGGTTCGAATTGCGGAATGGGGCATCAACAGCAACAGCATTGATCTCCCTCATCATTCTGCGGATTGGCAGCTGAGGTTACAACTTGCAATGGTTAGCGCCTTGAAATGGCGGCCACACTTGTATTATAATGCAGGCGTGGGTAGCTGGTGGTACCCAAGAGAAACAGCCCCCTATCCTGTCGTCCGATTGCCTCCGAGACAGTAGAGGAGCATTCTTTGGTGGCTGAAGATGAGTCACAGACATACTTTCCTATAGCGGAGGGCTACATCATGCCTTTCGGTCAGTGAACCTCACAGGCGGATTCAAGACTCGATGATTGGGGTGGTATGGTAGGATGATTATGTAGAAATAGATAATGTAGGTATCTTCAGCACCGAAAATTTGACCAGGCATGGCGTTGATGGGTATTCATTCATGGTATATTTTTTCTCCTGGAGACACGGGCCCAACATGGTAACGTCGTACAAATTCCGTATCACTTCATCACTTTAGTTAGCACCGACCAGACGGGTGAAACTTTGCGCCTAGGTTCAAACATAACCCCCACGAATCTCTACTGTAGGCACTAGGCAGACGCAATCCTGGTGGCTGGCACTGCCACCGCGGGACAGACCCTGCGATGCATCTGAGACACGGAATTGCCGCTGTCTTAATTAGAGTTTGTAACCTCCCAATCTTAACAGACACAAGCCTGTGAATGTGTCAGAGGAACCTTCTAGCCAAAGAGGAGACGAAAGTCAGCAATACGCGACCCAACTGATTGAAGACTAGGCAGTATTAGGAATATGCAGGAACGCCATGGGTACTACATGACAAATAGAAGAAGCAAAGAATGACTATCGAAGAGTTGTTGGTACGACATGAATATCAAGCGCGGAAGAAGACCTGTCATGTTAGTAAAAAAAACTCCCTTGCAGCAAAGCACCATGTAGAAATTTGGGCTGCAGAGAAATCTTAATGAATGAGCTCTTTAAAAGTGACAGGGTGCTGATCGCGCCAAGATCGTGTCAATATTCGCGAGGACCCTGATCCTGTGGTCTGACATGCCTTTCGGGCAGTGATCGTCGCAGGATCTGAACCTTGGATGATCCTGTCATGTATCTTGTCTGCTCTTCAAAGATGAGGGTAAACACGTGTGAGGATGAAACACCAGCTACAGTGCGAATATGTGTAGCCGAGATGAAAAACTTCAACTTTCATGAGATCCATTCTGGAGATCATCAACACGCACACGCATACCCACACCCACACCCACACAAGTTAAGCACAAAATAACCGTAGATGATGCCGATCATCTTGTCTGCCTGCTCGTATTAGTTCTGGTAAATAGGATTTGCCCCGCAGCGTTTACCCTCGGAGGAAGCTGACGTTAGCCAACCCAAAGAAGCAACACGGTGTGAAAGGCAGTGAGTCCCATCGCCCACCAATCAAGTGGGGAGAAACTGCTCGCTACATTGACCTCGATCTAGCAGAGTCTTCTTGGCGCTAAAGCCAACAGAGAAGGGTCTGGCAGGAAAAAGCTTGTGTGGCGTAGACAAGTTAAGACACGGGCTAGAAGCCGAACAAAAAAGGGGGCCAGCCATTGACGAGTGGACACTCATTGCTGGAATTACCTCGGAAGCTTCCGAGCCAAGCTCGGGTCAAGCAATGGTTCAGCGTAGGCATCCATGAAATACAGTTCCGCAAAGGGAAAAAGAAGGGCCACAAATACCATGGGAACAAATAGAAAACATGTCCATCCTCGAGTCTGAGTCTTCCTGATGGTGGTGGTGGAGGGAAGATGACGGGCGGGATTGCGTGGTCAGCCTTATAGGGCGCGTGTATTGCTGCATCGGTCTCCGCGGATTCCATCTCTTTGAACGGGATCGACTGAAACCTGGCTGCCTATTAGGTCCCTGATCCATCTCATCCTGTCTTCTTCCTACTGCTGGTACGATTGCAGTGCTCGTAATATTCATACTTATCTACACGCCATATCTGCAGATTCCCCTGCCATCTCCCCCCTAGTCATTTAGACTCTCCTGTTCTGTTCCGTTCCCCTCATGAATCTTTCCATTTGACCGACTGCTATCTTGGCAAACCGTCACTCTTTACAGATTCATCTATATTTTCTTAATTTCTACCTGCGCATCAGTCGTCATGCGTACCCAGTTCCTGTGCCTCGCGGGCGCCTGGCTGGCCAGCTGTGCTGCCAGTCCAGTTGCCAGTCATCCTGGTGATGCTTCCGTGCCCCAGATGGCTCTTAAGGACTCGCACGCCCCGTTCCCCGTCGTGACTGGCCATGAGATTCATATTCCCTGTGCGACGATCCCAGGATTAAAGGAGGGCGAGGCCAAGGATGTCTCTAAAGCATATCTGGTACGTGCGCCCGTACTAACGACGGTCGGAAAGGGTCCAAGCATCACTAACCTTGCCATGTAGGCGATGAAACTCCGCACGGAGAGCAATGCTCTATTTGTCAACGATGTTACCGTCTTTCCTAGTTCATTCCCCATGCATTTGCCGGCAACCCGATACCAGGACGCGTCCAGGCAGAATGCGGAGCATCTGCTCCTGCAGTACGCCATGGACATCGAATATATGCCCCCTCGTCCGGATGGGTCCCTGGTGCAAGACATCTACCGTGTGCAACTCAAGTTCTTCGACCTTTCCGGCCGTCCTGCTACGACAGACACTGTCAGTGTTCGATTGTCGTCGCAGCAGTCGGGCGAATTGTACATTACTCAGATCAGCGTCGAGCCACTTCCCCACTACCATGACGCGCACGGCGATGGAAATTGTGTCTGGCACGCCAAGTACTGGAACTTGATTATGGAAAAATACCGTACCTGGCGCGAGAAGAAAGGACACGGCGCCCACAAAGGACCCAAGTCGCAGGAGAGTGACGACCACGAGCACAATGATCACCACCACCACCATCCCAAGGAGCGACCAGCAACCCACGAGGGAGCCGAGGAGCGCAGACCGTTCCTGAAGGAACGACCCACCGCACACGAGGTGGATAAAGAGAACAGTCCACAACTCCCCACGACGGACTCCAACAAAGCTGCGCCCGACTCCCCGTTCCGGGTGTATGGAGTGGACAAATCTCTGCGACCGACGGCTTTGCGTAACAAGGATTACCGCCGGGACTTCTGGCGACTCGTGGTGCCTGCCATCATTCCGGGACTTTTGGGGGCCGTTGCTGGATTGGTAGTGTGCACGATGGGGTTGCTTCTCTGGAAGGTTGTGGCATGCACGTGTGTCAGTATGCAGCAGGGTCGGAGATGTCGGAAGCGTTGCCAAAGGAAGCAAGGCGTTTTCTTATCGGAGAAGCAACGACTACTGCAGCAAGATGAGCTGAGTGAGGCGTAGTCCCGTCACCCTACTTAGCATTAAGTAGGGATGATGGTAATCCTGCGTGGGGGCTGAGTCGGTCGCAGATGCACGGCGAGAGTTTTTATTGAATGATGTAAATAACATGAGACAAGCTGATTAATGCACATTAACTATTTGCTCCATGTGATAGCCTATAGTCTTATATTAGGGTGTGATACCGAGATGTCTCCAGTAGATGAATTGAAAGCGGGGTTTGGGTTACTAGTTACTAGTTACTCCGGGAAACCTGAGGTCTGCAGCAAACTATTGGAAGTCTGCCTTGGCGACCGTCACTTCTAACTTAGGAGAAAGAGAGTACGTACCTAGTAAAATGGTGGTAGTAGTGGAAGAAGAGCCTTCCGATTTCCGAGCTGTCTCATATGGTGGTTAGTAATAGATAACTGAATGGACAGATTGTTGTTACTCAAAGGGAAGCAGGGGGAAGGGCTGTTGCCTGGACTAGCAGAGACTGCATCATCCACTGGCCCCAATGAATCCCTTCCCTTCCCTGCCCTTCCGTGCGTCATGGTTCCCCTCAAAACCGGTCCTCCACATCTTGCTTTCTTCCTCTGCTGAAAATAAATAGCCAATACCACTGATTCATTTCTGCGATGATCATCCCTTAAGATCCTGATTGGCGTGGAAAATACGTACTACGTAGTATGTCGCTGCAGGGCTGGCGATACGCCGGGGAAGGGGGCAAAACCGAGTAGGGTAAATTCCCAAGATGATCCACGGGCGGAAATAACCGCCTACTACAGAAATCCTTTCACATTTCTACGGAGTACTAACAATACTAATGAGTGGACTACTCAGTGCTTTTACTACTTCGAGTCGAGTGAGATTACGGAGGACCACAACTGGCTTGTTCTGGATCCTGTCATTGGACAAGCCTTGTCGCGAAGCTTGTCCAAAAGCTTAGTTGACCGCCAGTGGATGCTCTCTGATTGGGAGTGTGGCTATGATGTGTTCCACCTCATCACAATAATTATTATTATTCATTAATCAACCCATGTACCGAATCATTTGAATGGCTGGTGCCTGAGCCACCGATCATCCACCGTGTCTGATCCACTTCAGTTACTACTTTGTACCACCTTCTTCCTTCTCGGCAGGGCTGAGCCAGTGATGTCACCTCCACCTGCAACCGATGCAAGAATAGCAACCACCAACTGGGAATGGTCGACTGACTGTCTGTCTCTCCTCAGCTTCGCCCGCCCAATCCTTTCTAACCCACCAGCGGTCGACACGATCTATCGGCGCCTAACGGTGAGGTCATCACCTCGCCTAGCTTCTCGTTGGATGCTAATAGGGCTGACCGCTGGGCCCCCCGACTCCCCAGATTGCAAAATGGCCAACGGATAAATACTACTAACTGCCCCCGCCCGGTACCTATTCCTCTTCTTTTCATTCTTTAGCATTTCAGATACCCTTTCGCCTTCCTTCGGATAACTCCTTATCTACCCGTCTGACTCCGGCTCAAGTCAGCTTCTCCCATCTCCCAACTTTCCTGTTGCCAAAAGAGCAAAAAAGCAAACAAACCCCAACAACAGCCACCGCCAATATGTTCGACTGGTTCAAGTCTTCCAACAAGGAGTCTGCTACGCAGCAGCCCACCTGGAACCCCAACACCATGACCATGCAGCAGCCTTCCGCCCCGGAAGCTCCCGTTACCGAGCAGGTCGTCACCGGTCAACCCGTGCGTCCCACCCATATTCAATCCCCCTTGCATCACACAAACAAATCTAATATACCTCTAGAGCCAGCAAGAGACGATGCAGATGAGCCTGCGTGGTGGTGGTGAGGGCGAGGATGTTTGCTGTGGCGTGTATGTTTATCTCTCTATCGTCTAACATGCTATTGATCGACACTAACCATATGATAATAGGTGCGCCGGTCTTTGCTGCTTCGAATGCTGCGAATGCTGCTGCTAGATGAGATAATCACCCGGATAGACCATCTTCTATACCACGACCCTTAACGTCCATGTACTGTTAATATTGCTCGCATCATGACTATACCATGTTTTTAGCCTGGAGACTGAAGTGATAGAAGGTCCGCGTCCTGGTCTTCATAAAACCAATGTCACAATAATATTTCGCAATATGCTCTTCTTTCATTCTACCTTTTCTCTTTCCATACTACTTTGTACAGAATCTCTATAATACCTGGTGGTCTCTATCGAGGAACATTATGGTTCAATTCATGCATTCGCCGACACAGTGAAAGGTCAAGGCAAAGAAACACCTGCCAAGGTGCCAAGATCGAAGTGATTGCGGATTTGTTGTCGATCCCGATGACCAAAAAGCTTATCATTAGCACTTCGCTGAAAGAATGGTAACATATATATAGAAGGTTATTTTCTAGACCACCGTCAATTGTGGATCGCCTTCAAGAGTAAGTGTTGTCGGTGCCAATCCATATACAGAAAAGTTAACTTGATCCGTGACTTCACTGACAGATATATATCTACTAACTATTAGAGACTACTCTAGTACTAATGTTAGTGAAATGATTTTCTCATGAATCGATTCGTCGTCGAGACAGCCAGACTATTCGAGTGGCCGACAATTTAAGATATTTACCAATTACTACAGAGAATGAATGCTACCTCTGGCTAGCATCCACCTTCAAGTCTCCCAAGTCCCAACACCGAGGGGAATATACGGTGGTATCTCATCCCATTAACGTGGGGGCGCAGCTGTGGGATGACTGGCGCCGAAGGCAGCTTGGCACTTGATGCACAGCGCCCTGCTCTAGCCGAGACATCCGACCGGGCCGTTATCATGTTTGTCCATTAAAGGGCTTGGGTCGTCCACGGAGAATTGATCTTAGCACTGTTTCTCCTGTTTGTGAACTATGATCCTCGCCCCACGGGTGGTCCGCTACCGCCTAGTAGTATCAAGCTATCTTATTGCCTCCTCACCATCTATGCGCCATTTTTAGAGGTATCAATGCTTTGCTGGACACTAGAGCAAGGCTGAAAGAGTGAGACTACAACTACCAGTGACTCGGACGTCGCTCGGCTAATCACTGGCGAAGCAGGCAGTCATCTGGTGGTGGCAGAGCAGACCAGAGGGCATTAGACAAACCAGAATCAATAGCGCTAAAATCGAACCAAACATCATGAACAGTTGCTGCACCTATTTAGGAAACATGCAATTTCCCATGCAGCGACTAGTTCTGACAGATAATTTGCGCCGAGGTCCAACCGTCGTTAGTTGCATTGATTCTGACTTCCGTGACTGATCCGGCTAGCCGCACATGAAGCCCAACTCCCTGACCCGTGGGTATAGACCTTCCACAACATCGACGTTAACAATTATCCACGTATATGATAACGATCCCAATTCATCGAAAGGCATAAAAAATACTGGTGATTGCCACGAGCCATAACGAACCTTGGTCTCGAACCGAAGAATTACATGGGCCTTAGGGTCCTTAGCCTGGCGCTAAGCACCATCATTTCCAGCGCTAAATTACATCCGAATGCTACAAAGTGAGACATACCCAATCAGCACATCTCATGACAGTCATAGCGGCCCCGGGGTTCTCGTAATAGCGGGCCCTATCTGGAGAGAGATCCGAACAAGGCGGCTCTACAGAATCTTTTTGATGCCTATTCGACTGTCTACTCGCTTGAGTCATTTCCCGGAAGCTACCAATGTTGGGGCCGTCAGCATGACCTGAAAATGAGATGAGCTTGGCTCTGCACCTAAGGCTATAGAAAGGGGATTAAGAGCGCCCCTCTCCATCCTTTCCCCCTGATACTACACCCTATTCAACATTCATTCCTCTCTACGGAGTACTGTCAAACAGCAAACCTCGTCCAAATCTCAGAACCCAGAGATAGATCAAGATCATCGCAGCGACAACCATGCGCACATCCTACCTCCTCGCCGCCGCCCTTACCCTCCTTGGCGGTGCTTACGCCGACGACGACAGCACCACAGTAGTCGGCTACTTCATGCCCTATTGGTCGGTGGACCTCCCTGAATACGGCGGCTGGACAAGCACCGGCGCCAGCGTCGCAGGCATCAATGCCGTGAAAACCACCTACAAAATGAGCTGTCTCAAAGACGCCCCCAAGACAGACTGCGACATGAAGGACGCATACACTATCATTCAAGGCCCGGAAACCGTCAGTGTCAGCCAAGTATACACTGCTTCGACGTCGGACAAGACCACCAGCTTCGATGTCACCGTGACTCTGTCATACGAATGCTCATTGAAGTCACGGACTGAATCGGCGAGCTGCACTATGAGCGCGGGTTTCAGTGGAAGTGATGATGGCGCGACGTACGCTTCGTCGACGTCGACCAAGTCTACCTATGAGAACCCGACTAGCAGATTCTATTCCCTTGTTGTCACGGGGGGTGTCAAGTCGTTCACCGAGCCCGCCGCTACGAAGACCCCTGATGCTGCTGCTGGTGTCGGGGCTCCTGTTGCGGCCATGATTACGGCGGCGCCTGTTGCGGCCGCTGCTATGGTTGCTGCGGCTTGGGTTTAGGATCGGCCAGTGGAAATATTGAACTGATTATGGAAAATTCTCTGATCGTTATCGATTGTAATGTGGAAGGATCAAATGATACTTGTGGTAGCACTGCAGTTGCTATCTAAGTATTCCGTTGTTGTCTGCTTGTTGCTGTACCATGGTTTATGTGTCGCTCCTTGTATACCCCGAGTTATCAAATGAATGCTATTACGGATGCATGCCTGACTTCTTCGAATACTGTTATCTGACCGATAGTGTAATCAGGACAATTGCAAGAGGCTTGGACTTCGTCTAACCTAAGTACTGGCACAGGGGAACCCTAGATGGGTAGGTAACTGCCACTATGAATCGCAGAGTAGGATAGTAAGCGAGTAATACTCGCTGATAAATGATATATTTTGAAAATGTTGCTAAGTATCATACGAGGGAGGTAGTGTTTAGATTATTAGCCCTTCAAGTACAATAACAGTGGACCCAAGGGCCTACATGCACACCCACACGAGACATCAGATTCTGCCACCCCTTCCCCAAGGCGGTCAAAAAACATACAGAATGCTGACTGGTCATTTCGGGGTTGTTGAAAAATATATCCGTCTATATCCGCCTATATCCGCACTTTCTTTCGCGAGGTTGCTGTGGTTCTGCCGCATTTAGCGGTCAGACAGGCGGTCAAATATGGCAATACTGTTCGTGGGTCTAAACCAGAGCATACCCAATTGAACTCTGATATTCTCTTTTAGTAGCTATACCCAGAGGTGTCTCCACGACCTTTCACTCTTTATACAGACATACTCCGAGCTACTTCTTCTCGCGCCATAGAGAACGGCCGTGCTTTGGCGTACTTCTCAACATCATCTATCAACACTTTCCTATTCTCACCCGACATAGCGGCGGCTTTTGCCTCGGCACTGGCCCAGGTCACATTGGCTTGAAGGCAGTACGGTGCATCGGAAGGGAACGTGAACACCTCCCATGAGAGGAGCACATCCTTGCCACAGAGTCTTTCTGCTAAGGGTATGTGGACATTGATGAAGTAATCCAGGTTGACTTCTGCTTCCCGAGGGTATAGGACCTATGGTATCTATCAGTGACCTTATACGTGGACAATGGTGGGGGAGAAGGTACTGCGTATGTAATGGGCATTTTAGGAAATGGAAAATTTAGAGATGGAGTACTGGCCAAGGTCGAAGGCACTCAGGTAAGAAAAGAGGGAGGAGACACAGAAGAGTATGCTTTTGCAGTGCTATCGTAATCCCTCTACACTGCCTATGTGGATGGGTTGGGGGTTAGGGGTGAGAAATCTTGTAAGTGAGAGCATCTATCTGAACCGATGATGCAGCAGGACGGAAAAGGCTATCATCATGGCTGCCTTGCTGCTTATATGTCCAAATGGCATTCTTATGATCGGCATGACGTGCTAGTCCGTACATCATATCGCAAATCATGGATGCATGAAGTTCCCGGTAGCCACGGAAGTGCAGAAGACTATGTTTGAGTCTGGGTGGGGCTGAGGAAAATCGGTGATTAAATGGAGGACGCAAGGGTATCTTTTAGGCATGATAGGTCCCCAAGAGCGACGGTGCGTTTGGAGGAAGGATACGATGGAGGATACGATAAGAGGACACTAGAAATGGCTCCTTCTTCAACTATCACACTCTTTGGGTGTAAGCGTCTCTGCGCGCTTCTTGACTGGGCCCCTTGCATGCATCATCATGGCAATTGGGCTTTCAGATGGACCACTCCACATCGATCGGCTGCAGGACACAATCATCTCCTTTGGTAGAATATTTGAATATTCACCATGCAGAGGGCTTAATACTCTACTACACGGTTGCACCTTGGTTAGCATGTATCACTGGGAGCTTCTCATAATGGTCATGAATGTTCGTAGCATTAGGGGAGACTTCAAATCCTCAAATTTAGATCGGGGAAAGCTCGCTTGGCACGTTCGGGGAGAGTCTCGAGGAAATGCCCCCATTCGAGACGACATTGATCACAGAGCTGCACACCCCCGAAACAATGATCTCTTTGAGCACCGTAGACCTCACGATATATACACTCAGGGCAATGTTGGTTGTCGGCCCCATCAAGATAGTCCGCCAAACCACGAAACATAAACTCATCGCTCCTCGCCATAGACCTATTATAATGCTCAATATCTTCGGCTATATCGGTCTTTCTTCTGTCAATACGATTCCAAAGCTTCTTGTTAAGACGTGTTTGGTTGATAACCTCTTCGGTCTCACTCTTGCCCACTGTAAGGTCCTCCTCCACGAAGCGGTACCGACGCATCATCATATGGATGGGGCCACCAAAGCTGCGTAGGAAGTTGGTGACAGCGAGATGCCCAGGTGTACCAGCCATTGCCAGATCTATCGCCCAGAGAACCTGTCGTGCCCGGTGAAAGGCATCAATACGATGGTCCTCTGGCATGTAGGCGAAGGTACTGTTGGTTTCTCCCTCAGAGCGATGTTTGTAAAAAGCCACAGCGTCATACATAATATCACCGATCTCGCAGAGAACATCGTATTGCGCATCAGTAAACCAGATGTCAAGGAGATCGTTGCAAGCCAGGGCAGAGGCTATGGTAAATCGAGCCAGGGCATCGCAGTCTCGCATCCGAAACCACTGCTGTGGTGAATTGACAAGAGCATTGACATACCGGCGGAACAGTTCGCTGTTGGCGTGACTGACTTTCTGAGATGTAATAAAAAGGAAAGTTTTATATTCGCGGGCCATATCAAGATGCCCAGGGGTGCCGTGGAAAAGTTCATCCAGAACTTTATCGAGGTTATAATTGAGGATTCTGGGCCCAGCAGTGACGTCGACCATGGTACCCTGAAACTCGGCAATGACCCCGATGATAATGATGCGCATAAATGCAATATAGCGCTCCCAGTTCGTGTACTGTGGGATTTTAGACCGTGAGTACTCCCAAGCGCACGCCAGGACCTCGTCCTTGGTGGTTTTTGGTAGGTCAATCCCATCAAGGTCATGGGCGATATCATCGGGGTAGTACCATTCGTTTTGAATCGTCATCTTGGCTTGCCTTGCACAATGCTAGCTTTGGACCTTTTGATGTTCAAATTGATATTCTGACTTGCTCAGCCTCTGACTAGTACCCTCTATTTACCTGAAGCTTACAGCCACACGCCAGATTTATAGAGATACTGGTGCATTGTCTCGACGCGTATGGGTCTATGTTTTCCCTTGCAAACCAGTCTCATGACGTGAGTTACCCTTTCTAGTTAGATACATCAACCGCATTTGTTCCAATTTCTTGCTCGCACGGAAATGCTGTCCTAAATGTGCCTGGCGGATATTATACGAGCAAGTTTTAGAGATATCCCTTGCGTTCTGTTACCGGCCGGGGTCCTCTCCGAAATAATTCATGAGTGAGGTAGCTTTTGAGATGACAGAAGGACTAGCTACCCTAGGCCGTTAGGTTCGCGTGAAGTTGCTCCGAATGTCTGCTATGCACAATGATCTTCGTTTTAGCATGAAGTTCCATGTTCATTTAGTAATCGAATACAATGGTACGCTTGCAGAATGCGCCTAGCAAATGACTTCTTTATTGTAGCGTTGACTATGCCATCATACTAACGATGTTGAAGATTATCCTGCTGCTGAGCATTCTGCAACATCAAACGGCTGCAAGGATCCATACAGAGTATGCACCATGAAACCCACAATAACGTAACTCTAACCGGCTCTTCACCATCATGCCGAAGGATTTTCAGGAATGCTGCTGATAAGCCACCCTGCCAGATTGAAAGCTAATCGTCTGAGGATCCAGTGTATCAGTCTATTGTGGTGAGCCGATCGCGATGTGTCAATCATGTATCCCTTGCGTCTACATACCCTCCGCTCCACCACACCATTTTGTGCAGAATGGCATGACGTAAAAAGGTTACCCCAATGAGCAGAGAGCAGATATACACGGCGGGTTATAGGCTAGACTCACATGTATTGGCTCAGATATGTATGCATGACCATATTCATATCAAAATCAGCTAGGGGATGATGTTATATGCCAGGCATAGGTAAAGCACCTCCATCGCTCTCCACCGCGTGAACTGAAATACCTGCTTTCGTACCATCTCCCTTCACTCCAACTATTCTCTGACAAACTACACCCTAACCATGGATTTTTACAATCTTGCCGCCTTGACAGCATTCGCATTTTTTGGATGGTATGCCCTTACTTCCACCCTAGCGTGGTATCGACTCCGCAAGTTTCCAACACCCAGCTGGCTAGCCCATTTCTCCTACCTCTGGCTCGGGAGGTTGACATATAGCGGAAAACAGTATTGGGTACACCGCGAGCTACATCGGAAATATGGCCCGCTGGTTCGGATTGGTCCGAACGAGATCATGACCGATGACCCGGACATCATCAGCTCCATGTCATCAACTCGAAGCACATTTACTCGCGGCGAATGGTATCTCACCGGGCGATTCAACCCGTACTACGATATCCTGTTTACTATTCTAAGTAATGACGGACACAAGAAGGCACGAGCACGCGTCCATGCAGGTTACTCCGGTCGCGAGACGGGGGTTGCCTTGGAACATGGGGTTGATCGTCAGGTAGCCCGATTAACTGATCTGCTACGGCAGAAGTACGCTGTTCCTGGGGATGATGCGCCGCTTCTAAACATAGTCGATGTTAGCTCCTACTTTACTATGGATGTTATTACAAAGCTGGCCTTTGGGCAAGAATTCGGCTTTCTCCAGGCGGAGAAAGATCGTTACGGCTTCTTCAAAGAAGTGCACTCCCTCTGGCCGCAAATGTCTACAGTGGCAGATGTTCCGTGGATTCGAAGGATCATTTTCTCCAAGCCTTTTCTGAAGCTGCTAGGCCCTCGCCCAACGGACTCTCATGGCTTCGGTGCGTTGATGAGGTAAGTACAGGTCACTTGTGTGTTGACTTGCAAATGTACTGACAGCATGACAGGGTTGCTCGTGAACATGTGCGCGAGAAGTTCTCTACCCTGGACAATAGCAAAGGGGATATGATGGTATGTCGCCATCCAAGCTATTATCTTGCGACAGATCCTAGTTCTAACACCGATGCAGGAATCTTTCATCCGCCATGGATTGACACAGGAGGAGTGTGAAGCCGAGGGGCTCTTCACAATCATTGCCGGGAC